AAAGCAGTTCCTTTATTTATCAATGGTAATCACAGCATAGAGAGGGAAATCCCACATCAGACCTCCACATGTTCACCCTGGAATTCACAAGCCATACCCCCTGACACACACACACACACACACACACACACACACACACTAAGGAATTTAAAGACAAAAAGATTCAAAAGAACAAATGGTAATTCCTAGACATGACAGAGATGGGAGAATTTTACTCTTCAATAATCAAACCACTTACTGAAATACCCTATATCTATCCTTATTCAGAAATTTCATTTTTGAATTAACAATAACATATGTGTGTGAAATAAATATATATATATATATAAAATTCGTGATGTTTTGATGTACGTATACATAGTAAAATAACTAAATCTTAAATAATAAATTATATATATCATATTTTATAAAATATAAACATAAATTTCAAATGTCTCATCATAAAAAATGAGATAAGAAACATGAATTAGCTAGATATTAAACACATGATTTTAAAACACCATGTTGTTTCCCATAAAGGCCTACAATTATTAATTAAAACAATATTAACTTTAAAAGTCAAAGTTAATTGCTACTAACTCTCTGGTTAGTTCTTTTTATCAAAAAGTTGTAATCGGATATAACTGAAGAGAAATTACATCTCCTGAGGATGTGAAAGAAGTCAAATAAGCCACTGTTCACATGTATGTTTCCTTATTCTTAACTAAAAAGTGTGAATATAAAAAGCAAGTTGCTAAAAATATGACATGTGTTGGAGAGTACTATTTTTCACTATGGAATGACTAACATAAAAATACCACCTACTTACACTCTTGCAAAGCCTCCCACACTGCAGCAAGCTCCACTTTTCTGGGCTGAGTGTCTTATTGATGAAACAAAAAAAATCATTTTTAGAATTCATCTAAGTGCCAGCTCTCTTATTTGATGCGATTGTAGACAAATGTACTATGGTGTTTGTTACAGACTGCTGCATCTTGGAATGAACCACTTGTTTAAATGGATGCGAGTTTTTGCTAGGCAATCATTTCCTTCCCATACAGTACTTTCCTAATGGCCTAATTGTATCATTCTGGGAGGGCTTTGCCTTGCCTATATAGGTCAAGTTTCAAGTTCTTAGCTGACAAAATTGTACTCAATTTAAAGAGATAACATTAAGCAACTGTAGCCTACCTTTATTATATTATAAAAACAATTAAATTATCCTTATTAAAAAGTTGGTTTATTCATAGCAGGATAAGCTAAATAGTTTACTATTTTGTCCTTAGAAAAGAATTTTAAAATAGAAGCACTGTTCTCAGGCTATTCCAAGAATAGAAAACTTTGTTTTGACTTCTAACCAATTTTCTTCTTAAAGAGAATTTGAAAAGAAAGAAATAAAAGTTTAAATTAAACATCATTATAAAACTCTACTATAGTCCTGGAGGTTTTCATTTTTCTGATCCTCAAGCAAAAATCAAATTATTCAAGAATGGATTATTATCACTTTAAAACTTAACTTTTTATACGTCAATACAAGAAAATAGAATTTGTCTTAAAACTCAGTTCTCAAATTCTTCATTCTTATTCATTATCCTCAGGGTAATATATTTTAACATGTGTACTCTGGGCCTCAGTGGTGCTCTGTTCTGTGATAAAGATAAGCTTATTGAGAGGGAGAAACAGTATAGCTCAATACAAGTCAGAATTAATATTAACATGTCAACTATGCAGAGGCACTCAATACCCTGTAACTAGAACTATTCCAGGGCTGACGATACTCTTTCTAATATCAATATTTGTTTACCCCCACATTTCCAAAGCAACAGCCCATATTCTAGGTTGTTTGATGTTGTCTCTCCTTTAAAACAAATACTGAGGCAAAATCCAGAGCCAAACTTATATATTCAAAAAGAAACAGATCAAAGGGAAAAGAACAAACCACAACTCTTCGGCTGGGAACTGGACCCCTTTTCACCACTGGTTTGTTTCATCAGTGACATGTATGTAAAACAGAAGAGGAAAATAATCTTGCCTTCATTAGCAAGCTTCACATGCATAACTTTTGCTCAATTATCCACCAATAAATCCTTTAATGTGCATGCAATATTTATGATAATGATAGCAATGATTTCATATCTAATTGTTGAGGCCAATCTTTAGTATTTCAAGTTGGGGCAGAAAACTTTATTTGCTTCGCAACATATAGTAAATACCATTGCCCACACTCATAGCATAAATATGTACATGTAGATAGGTATTTTTGTCAAATGACAAAGAAACAATTTACCCTGAAATAAAGATGATGAGTAACACAATATCCCTTTCTTAAAACCTGAGCTTGACAGCTGCATCTAATAATTCTGACGATTTAACAGTGAGCAAGATTAGATTATTATACTATTCCATACATTTGTTCTGTTTTTCTAATCCCTGCAAACATCTACCAGTACATTAAAGCATCCTCAAAACTAACGTTTATGTAGTTTTGCGTTAGTAAAATTATCATTAGAATGAGCGGGTTAAAAGAGAAAGAGTCAAAACAGCAAATACTGCTCCCAAATAAGTGTCCTCAGCATTTTAATCCTTTTCCCTCTCCTCATCGCAATGGGGTTTTCTTGTATAAAGCCATCATAGAATAACTTGAACCGAAGTAACCTGAGAAACCCAAGTCAGTGGGTTTCTTACTCCTGTAAGAAAGTGATCCATCCCAACAAGCGATGTCACCACAGACCACATGATTTTCAGAGGTTAAATATTCCAAAGGTAGGGTTAAATATTCCAAAGGTAGGGTCAAAAGCTGACAACACAGATTTACTCGATACATCAACTGTTTCCTAGTAAGGCTTGACTGCAGTGCCTTGCTTGTCAGCTTTGACCCTCATAGAACTATGTTACAACTTCTTACCATCCTCAATAGAACTTTTCTCCTAGCATGCCTCATTTGTCCCCCAGTCGTCATCAATGCTCTCTTTGCACCATTGCCTTCTAGTTCTCTATCCACGGCAATACAGTCTAGTACACCGTGGCTGTGAGAATCAAAAGCTAGGGTATAGTAGCATTAAACTTAAGTTGTGGTCATTGACTAACACCAGACAAAAGTTTTCACAATGGGCATGCTGTTTTTGTTCTATTAACAATGTATGTCTGTGTGTTTGGGAATTCATCATTAGGAACCTAAGGGGTGTTATGGGGAATGGTAGCTCAAATCGTGTAAGAAAATGTTCTCCTCTGTTCCATACCTTATTGTTAGAAAAAAATAAAAATAAAAAATAGCAATTACCCAGCTCTTTATATTATACACATCACATTCCTGTGTTCTTTTTAAGTAAAGCCTACTCCCTCTCCTGAAATAAAGGGTGTTTGGGGGCCTATAGCAAGTGATCTATTCAAATACAAGGCCATGTGTCCTGTCTTGATACAATACAGAGGTAACAGGACTTTTCCATCCAGGCCAAGGTCTATTGATTGTGACCTTGGCCAAGGCACAGAAACTTGTTTGCCAACTTTAACTAGAACATTAGATCTGCCTCTTGCCCACTTCACGTCCTCAAAGGAACCCAGGAGCTTGGATTGAAGTGTTGTCTAAGCTGTCTTCAAACAGCCCAGACTCCCTGGAGCTACATACACAGGCAGTCACCAGAGGGCTCTAAGTTCTACCAGTTTCTTTCCTCATGTGGCTCGGGAATCACCAGGAGACGTGAGGACTCACTGCAATGCACACGCTTAGTGACTCATAGGGAGAAGGCAGGCTGCAGGGGATTTCCCAGCCCTGAGCCAGCCTCTTCAGCAAACCCATTTCCCTGACTCTTCTTAACAAACCTCTCTCTATTGGTCAGGTTTCCCCAGCAGGTAGGGATATCGGAAAAGCCCTTACCCGGACAAAGTCCTAACGTGTAAATCTCTAACAAAAAATGCCCCCAAGAAGAATGGTAGTGTACAAAATGCCCGGAGGAAGAGTAGAATGGATAAATATGTACGTATGTATGTACATATATAATTATTTAATGCTCCAGAATCTCTTCTTTTCAGCTATCATCTACAAGTGAGCGGGACATTTAAACTATTTTGCGATTTGTTCATTTTAAAGTTCTTTCTTTCTTTTTACACCGGCCCTGCAGACAGAGATACCCACCAGCAGAGTGGTAAATTGGTGACCTAAGTGCTTTGGGGCCACTTCAGGGCTGGGAAGAGGAAAAAAGAACAGGCACTACATGGAGTGCAGCAACAGACCGAAACGGGGGTCTCGGACCCGGGAAGCTGGGCGGGGAGGGGCGCGTGGAGGGGCGCCCCGCCTTCTCCAGACTTGCTTCCACAGGCGTCTCCCCTTCCCCAGTTCCTCAGACTCGGCCTGGTTACAGGTTTAGGAGGTCTGTCTGTACAGCTGGTGAAGACAGGCCAGCAGGGGACCCCAAAGTCTCTCCTCTCGCCCTCCCTCCGCAATAATTACCACCCCTTCGCGCCCAAGGCAATGGCCATCAAGAGAGAAATGGTGTGGGCGGCGGTGGGAGGAAGGGTCTCTGCCTACTGGTGGCCACAAACACCTCTGTGCTGCGAATTTGCGAACGGAAACAGGCTGTTCCGATGTCGCGCGGGGGCAGGAGTGGGACAGGAGAGCGACGAGAGGGGACCAGAGGCAAAGTGGCCGCGCATCTCGGACAACTTTGCCGGGAAAGCGGGCGACCTCGACTAGAGATAGGGCGGCCTCCACCTCGGCGGACCACGTCCGGACACCAATGAGACTCGGATCCAGATGCCACTGTCACCCGAGAGGAGAGCACCGGGTGGCCTCCAGCGGGAGCAACCACGCGGAGGGCAGCCCCGCGCGGGAGGGCAAGGGACAGCCGCCTGCGTCTCCGCGGCCCTGGGAGGGCGCTGCGCCGGGGGATACCCCGCCCCAGATGCCCCCTCGCCGTCCCGCGGGACCGGCGACTACTCCAGCGACGCCGAGAAGCAGCAAGCAGAGCCCAGGATGCTAGCGCGGCAGAGCGGAAAGCCAGCGCCGCAGCCGCAGGACCACGTACCTTGAGCTCCTGGATGTCTAGGTCCGTGGATCTATCCATGGAGCGAAACTAAAGGAAGTGGAGAGGAACCGGCCAAGTTGCTCCCCGAACCGATCTAGTCTTTTAGTTTCCAGCTGAAACTCAGCTTTATCCTCCTCCAAGCCCTGGCAGCTTCTCTCAGTCTCATTCTCCGTGGTCTCGCCGCCTCCGCCGGTTAAAAAATAATATAAATAAATAAATACTAATGGTAATTCACTTTGTTTTTACTTCTTCAAAGATTTAGGGACAGGTGATATTTACCGCGGTCCAACACGGCTCAGTCGAATCAGGCAGAGGAGGTTTAAAAAAAAAATTCCACTATTTCAGATTATTTCTTCTTCTGCAATAAGCTTAGAAACCAGCGAGTTGCTGCATCCCAAGAAAAAAAGCTGCTTCCCTGGACAGCATCATGCGGCAAAATTCAAGCAAATGTGTTCAAACTGGAGAGAAGAGTATGTGGTAAAAGCCTTCCTCCGTCAGGCATACTCTGCTAGCTAATCTAGCACGCTGTGAGTCCCAGACATTAGCAATCATCAATTTCCCTGGCAAGATAACCGAATCCCCGAAGTCCTGCATAGACTTAAAAAATGTCTTGGAGCTAAGAGGTTTTTCTCTCAGTGGGGAAAAGACGTTAACAAAGTCTGAAGGGACCGTTCTCCTTTGAAGGTTATGCCAAAAGAGTTGAGAGAATAGGAGGTGACTCCCACAGAGAGAAAAGAGGGAGAGAAGAGAGAGACAGCAATTTTCCTCCCGCTTTGCTGTTTTACTGGCCTTCACCACCAGGTGACTGACTTCACTTCTCCCTTCCCACAGCCAACACTAAGGGGATTTCTCTCATCTGTCAAAAAGCAACATTTCCTCTTCAGACAAATACAGTCGCTGGGTCTTAAAGACTGCCCTCTGTCCGGAATCTACTAGGTGACAGGCATTTTAATTCAATTCTGCTCTTCCAGCGTCTGCTCGGAAAAGCACTGGGAGACACAGGCTTGCATGTATCATTTCCATCCAATTAGATCTCGGCCGTAGCCAATTAGATCTTAGCTGTTTAAATGTCGGGTTGCTTTTGCCTTAAATACTAATTTTTAAATGATGAGAAGTACGATTGCTAAAGATTTCTTACCACGATTTACTTCAAGGTAATGTAAGTTTTCTGCCGGTTCTTTAAATTAATTCTAACAGGTCAATGCATTGCACTTGTAATCTGTAAATATGGAGATAGGGGCTACTTGGCTTCATTTACATATTCTAGTGTAAATACCTTGATTGATTTTAAGGAATCTAGTCTCCCTCTATTGTGGCATATAAAAATCTCAAACTTAAAAAAAGAGCAATATAGATTCTTTTATTTTGAAATATATATATATATTATATATATAAATGTATACATATTTATATTATATATATAAATGTATATATATATATATATACATTTGAAAAAAATAGATGGGCCTCTATCTACTCTTTGGACTCCCTCTCTAACTTCATTTTTATACTTCTCCACTGCTGAGTTCCAGCCACCTGGGCTACCTCTGCAGGTGCCATTTCCTCTACTTTAAGCTAACCCATGCTTTTGCCTCCCTGTCAGGACATCTCTTTCCTCCTCTGACTCTGTATGTTTATCATTATCCTGTTTCAGTCTAATGGCACTTCCTTGAAAAAGATTTTTTCTGCGGGTAAGTCCCTTGGCTATTCTCTTTGGTAATTGTGTTACAACGGAACTCCAATTTATCATTATTGCATTTATGCATTGATTATCTGCTTGATTATGTGACTTCCTCAATAACCAATCTGATCCTGAGGTATTTTCTGTACTAGTCTGATTCACCAGTACATCAAGCGTCCAGCAGATGGTAAGCAGACAAATATTCAATAAGTAGATAAAAAAAATATGTGTAAGAAAACTTTAAGGTGGTTTCCTTTTCTCCCTTCAACCCCACTGAAATCTCTCTCTCTCTCTCTCTCTCTCTCTCTCTCTCTCTCTCTTCCCCCAGCTCGTCTGCAGCTAAGCCTGCAGGCTTAACTTTATCACTAGCATGCTGGGCTCCTTACTTTAGCCCATTTCTATTTCACATGCTTATCAATACCATCTTTCTTCTTTGACTTCTGCCTACAGCCTTCAGAGATAACATCAAATACCCAATAGTCCACAATTAGTGGGCTGAACATCAAATCTGAAAATGAATATTACATGTCCTGTTTACATAATTATCTTACATAATATATGATGTAAAAAAATAAAGTTACACATTGCCAGCACATGAACTTATATAAAACATAACTCCTTAAAGAGCTGCTTTTCTAGAAAGTATCGGTGATTCAACATGAAAAAAATGATAATAATTCTTAAGTCAGAACTTTCATATGAAGTACTACTATATCCCCCTATCAAATAGTGTCTAATTTTAGAAAAGAATAAAACAATATGATATATACAAATGTATTATCAGACATTAAGAGGATTTTTGTAGCTGTAATGATAATGTGTACCTCAAGGATGATGATGATCATTGTATTATATATAATATATACTAGAATTTTATCATTCTATGATACTATTATACTTACCAACAAAGATACTTAAATTGCATTTTAAAAACACATGTATAGTCATAGGTGGGTATGTGCATTATGAGCACATATATAATAACTTCATTTTTAGTGACTTTGAAATTCTGAACAAAGTATGTTCAACATTCGATGATGGTCCAACCTTCATATTTTCATGAGCTACAGAAACTATTGGTGACCTCTAAATCAACTACATGTTACATCTAATTAAATATTGATGTAGCCAAAGACTACTGAGTCTTTAACGACTAACATGAATTTCCACAGGAACTCACTAGACTACCTCTTACTAAAACTCAAACAATGATAGTTGATAAAAAAAAAGGCTGCAGTTTGCTACGATATATTTATATTACATTTTGAGACAATCAAAATTTTGTTCCACTTAATCTGAGCAATAACTAGATGAAGCAACCATCTGAAAACTGAATGGACTTGACACTTAAAATCAGACAAGGCAAGAATGAGGATGTAAAATTAAAATGTCATAATTTCTAGATGTCCTAAATCACAACTCCAAGAATAAGACAACTCCCCATGATGGTGAAGGTAAGATCACCCTGGTACATAACAGAACATCTAAAGGGTACATCACTCAATTTAGCAAAGAAGTGCAATCCAAAAACAAACTGCACAGAGTGATTTCAATACCCAAGGAAGAGGAAGGCAGTGTGAAAACACCTGCAGGTCCTGAGATTTTACAATTGAGGTTCACTCATCCATAGACACATTCATCCATGTCACCTTCAACCATAGGTTTCAAAGCAGATGTATTCCTGCCATCATGAGCATCGTTAAATTACAAAAGTAGCCTACCTGTAAATCAATATGCTTTTTTTATCAGTCAGCAATATAATTCTTATTCATCTGTGTTGTAAAATCACTTACAGAGTTTTAAATTTTGTAAGCCCTTATAGTCCTTTCTTCAAACCCTCTTGCCAAATTTCCAATTTTATGCTTTTATTTGGATTTTCATGCTGCATTACATAGCAAGGCAATATTTTATTTCCGTGTTTTGAAATTATTAAAAAGAGAGGCATCACGATTTATTAAAATATACTATTAAATAACTTGTTTTTACAGGTTCCTAATTTTATGTGTACTGATCAGCACTTTTATTCAAAATGCTTATTACAGAAGGGATTAATTTATAATCATGTTATTTTTCCATGATATTTTAAAAATTATATTATATATATGATACTAGTTATTTTAACTTTGCATAAGCCACGTATGAGGATTAAGAAGAAAATTAAGTAAGCTATTGATATTGTGATTTGGATAAAAATTATCTTTCATCTATCCCCCAAAATTAATCATTTCTGATTATAGCATAGACATATATTTTAATAGAAACCAATGCTAGAACTAAATTAATTTCTGTTAGCTTTCAAGACAGATCTCCTGTATATATTCTAATTTTTTCTCTAAAAGGAATAACAAAAATTATATATATAATTAGTATCTCAGGTGCAAATAAAAAAGCAAAAACAAATAAGAAAGTAAAAATAAAGCAAATGAAAATGTGGAGACAGAGATGACCCAGCCGGAAGGCAAAATAAACATAGAATGTGCAACTGAAGCTACGAAAATGCTGAGACTGGGAAAATGTTTCTTTCCTTTTATTTTGACAAAGGTGTCTTTGCAATGATTATAGTCAACTGGTCAACCAGATGATTTCCAAAGTACCTGAGTCATGAGAGGACTTATGCCTCGCACAGCACAGATTATAGGAGTCTACAAAGATGGCAGAATATTTCTCTTTAAACTTACAAAGTCTGAAGATTAATATTAGCAGCCTTACAAATGTATCAGAAAAGCCATCACTTATTTGAGCTATGAATCATGAACACTGGTAATTATAGTTTGCAAACCTACTTCAAAAGGCAAAACCTGTAGAGCATATGAAAGAGAAACATTGCAAGTCTGCACACATGTGCAAGCTAGGAAAAACAGCATGGTTAGAACGGAATTAAAACTAGTGGCATATGAATTTAACATAGCAAAAATTCAACATAGTTGCAAAGTGAAAACTGATGTTAGCCCACATCAAAGAGTGTGAAGTCAGAATTATAAAAGCACAAGTAAATGAAAAGAAATGCTCTCAAAACATTTATTCAAAATGACTATTGATATTAATTGCCTATTTCTCTGAAAAAAATACACACCAAATAAAATGCATTACTAAAAACAACAACAACAAAAACAACTCTATTTTGAGATGAACAACTTTACTATTAAAAAGTAATAATAACTGGACCAATCTTGTTATGACATAAAAGGCCTTTTGGTCTGTTACTTATAATGACTATATAAGATTGGTTTGTTTCATTTAAATATCAGGTCAATTATTCTGCAAACGTCATTTCTATAAACAAGATTAATATAAATTTTTAAAGCCCAATTTGAAACTAAAAGTGGTATATGATGGCTGATCTTGTTGTGACCTTGATAGGATTTAAAAGCTTCAAAGAATCCCTCTGAGGGTGTGTCTAGAATAGGTTTGCATAGTAGTTACCTTTCTATCATTGCCATTAAAACATCATGATCAATGAAACTTATGAAGAATATTCATTTGGATTTTACATTATATAGGGCTATAGTCTATGATGGCAAATTGGATGTAGAAGGCGGCAGGTGACTAGAGCAGGAGCTTACACCTCCAACCTCAAACTGGAGGAAGAAAGCTGGCTCAAAATGGTATCAGTCTTTTGAAACCACAAAGCCCCCTCCAAGTTACACACTTCCTTTAGAGAGGCCACACCTTGCTTATATTTTATTTTATTTATTTATTTGTTTTATATCCTGACTGCACTAGTTCCCTCTCCCTCTTCTCCTCCACCCTTTCCCTTCAATCCATTCCTCCTTGGGTTCTGTCCAGAAAGGGGTAAGCCTCCTGTGCGTATCAACAAAGCAAGGTGTACCAAGTTGCTATAAAACTAAGCACCTCCCCTTGTGTTTGGGCTGGGCCAGGCAATCTAGTATGAGGAATAGGTTCCCAAGAGCCAGCCAAAGCATCAGGGATAGTCCCTTCTCCAACTGTTAGGGCTAACACAAGAAGACCAAGCTGCACAACTGTCACATATATGTAGAAGGCATAGATCAGTCCCAAGTAAGCTCCCTGGTTGTTGGTTCAGAATTTGTGAGATCCTATGAGCCAGGTGAGTTGTTTCCCTTGGTTTCCTTGTGGTGACCTTGACCTCTTT